CATGCAATGGATGAGGATCTCAGCATGATCACCTATGGAACAAATTATTTGCATTGGGCTGGAGGCCCTGGAAGGTAGAGTAGCTTTAGAAGGCAGGGGACAGAGTTCAAAAAGTCAGAAAATTTGGCTTTGAATGTCAGCTGTTCAGAGTTCTTGCCTGTCACCACGTGGACCATTCGTGTCCCACTGAAGACTTGTGATAAGCAATGAATAATCTGGAATTGTGCATTATGTAAAAGCAGCCTGCTCAAGGAGGCCAATTTGCTGTAAGCTTTGGTCTGGCTATGCCTGCTCCTCAGCCCATATATGCATTGAAGCATAAAACGCTCTGGATATTTTTAGAGCTCGCTTTGCATAAAATAGAGAGTTTTGAGCACAAATTGTATTTTACTATGCAGTCCTAGGCACTAGTCTTCAAAATGCAACCTATTTTTATATAATCTGAGAAATCCACCCAAAGAGAGAAAGGGATTCTCCCAATTTGATTAAGGTAGCTAGACAAACCTGGTTAATTCTCACACAGTGATATATACAAAAGGGAGAGTATAAAATGTTTATATAACCTTTCCTTCAGAGAGCTTAAATAATTAAATTTAATTCATTACATCACAACAACCCTTGTTTGTACTGATTTTGCCCTTGATCTCTGTCGCTAGATACCACCAACCATGTTATCCTCCTGGATGAGGGCACTGTATTACATGGCTGAGTTCAGACAGTAGTATCGGGAGAATGATTTTCAGCCTCTTGGCAGTTAGTACCACAGAGAACTGTTTAATTCCCAATGCTGTTTAATATCAATAGGGAGACCTGAGACTAGTCATTAGGCGATTGGGGCAAGGTGCCATCAATATGCTGGTGACAATATGCTCCCTGCAAGGCCCTTTCCACCTGGGGGCAGGCTCACCCTGCCCTTTCTCAGCGACTCCTGGGAGACCAGAGGGACACCTACCAGCTGTGGGTGCTGAAGAGCCCACACTCACTGGAACAACTCTGGGATTGGGGCAAATGTCAAAAATGCTTTTAAATGTTTTTACATAAATGGTGGTTTTAAATTTTGGTTTATGGTTTGGTTTTTGTTCTGTTGGAGGTGGGATTAGCACTTAGTTGGGGCTGGGGATTAGTTTAATGTTTAATATAACTGTGATTTTTTAAAATTAGTTTCCATTGTTTTATATGGTTTGAATTTGGTTCTTAAGGGGAGAGGGTCAGGGAAAATGGCTGGGGCAGGTTCCACGGGGGGCGGGGGGGGATGCACTGGGACAGCTGATCTCAGTGAGAAAGAGTTATGCTAAGACCAGACCATGTCATTACCAAGGAGGCAGGTTTAGTCATTGTTTGAAGACTATCCCTGCCTCCGGATGTGGTCTTGACCGGATGGATACTGGAATCAACAAGAGAGACCCACATGACCTGAAGGTGCTGCTGTGCAATGTCAGGTCAATGATTCATAAGACCACTGCCATCTATGAATTGATTGTGGATGGAGGACTTGACGTGGCATGCGTGACAGAGACTTGGTTGGATGAAGCAGATAGGCTTGTCCTTGCCGCTGCTTGTCCACCAGGTTTCTTGTATGCACAGCAACCCAGGTCATATTGGCGGGGCGGGGGGGGGGTTGCAGTGATTTTTTAGGATGTCCCTAGTTTATACCAGGTGTCCTATTGGGAAGACCCAGTTCTCTGAGTGCATGTTCTGGAAGTTGGGCCATAAGGGCAGTACAAATTCCTTTTGGTGTACCAACCTCCCTGCCAAGCTGCTTCAGGTCATGGTGGATGTTCTCGTAGAGATACCTAGGGGATTTTAACATCCATGCCAACATAACCTTACAAGGGGTCGCTCGGGACTTTGTGGAAAGCATGGCCTCCATGGGGCTGTCCCTGAGTAAGTTTGGCCCAACTCATAGTCACAGACATGCCTTAGACCTGGTGTTCACCTCTATTGGCATGGGTGATCTAACACTAAGTAAAAGCGAAACAAAAGAAGTGCCATGGTCAGATCACTTCCTGGTGCAACTGGACTTCTCCAAGACCCTTCCCCTCTGCACGGAGGTGGGACCAATTCGGATCGTTCGCCCCCCCCCCACTTAATGGATCTAAATGGTTTCCAGAGAGTGGTAGGGGATGTTTTATCCTATGTTGATGGCCTTTCAGCTGATTCCCTGGTGGCCCACTGGAATGCAGAGTTATCCAGGGCTATCGACTGTCTGGCTCCGAAGTGCCCTCTCTAATTGCATGTAGCCTGGACAGCCCCGTGGTTCCCCAAGAGTTGAGGGCGATGAAACAATTGCTGAGACAGCTAGAGCGCTGGTGACGGAAAACTCATTCTGAATTGGACCGGACACAGGTTAGAGCTCAACGTTGAGCTTACCAAGTGGCGATGACGATGGCGGAGAGGACTTTCTTTACCGCCTCTATTGCATCTGCAGAAAATAGCAGAAGGAGACTCTTTCAGGTGGTTCGCAATCTAATGGAACCACCTTTGCCATCGGGGCCTGGTAAAGACACCACTATCTCCCGCAATGATTTTGCAACTAAAGTTGCTCAGATTCGGAAAGAGGTGGACTCCACCGTGGGAGCAGGGCCGGGGAGGAAGAGTGCTATAGTCCTGTCTAGTCTTGTTACATGGGATCAATTCCAATCTGTTACCTCCGAGGATGTGGACAGGCTGCTTGGACGAGTGAAACCGACCACCTGTCTCCTTGCCCATCCTGGCTCATAAAAGCAAGCTGGGAAGGGCTGGGCAATATTTTTAATATTTTGTTGGAAGCTGCCCAGAGTAGCTGGGGAAAACCAGCCAGGTGGGCAGGGTATAATTAATAAATTATTATTATGACACTCAGTTCTATGTTAGTTTGTTTCTTAATCTCCTGCAACTGAGGCACTGTAGGTGATTCTTATGTCCAAGAAATTGTACAACTGCCTGCTGTGGGCAGATTTGCATTCTTCTGAAAGAGCAGATGCGCAGTCTGGGGTGGGCTTCTGAATCCAGTATTGTCATTGAAGGCTCAGCTGGCCTTGGTGGCTAGATGCTTTTATCAGCTTTGGCTGGTACGACATCTGCAGCCGTTCCTGGACAAGGATAGTTTGGCTACAACAGTCCAGACATCGTAAACTTCAAGACTGGATTACGTCAGTGCATTCTATGTGGGGCTTCTTTCGTGGCTGATCTGGAAACTGCCAGTTAATAGAGAAGGAGTCTTGGTTGACCACAAACTTGACATGAGCCAACAGTGTGACACGGCAGCTAAAAAAGCCAATGCAATTCTGGGCCTCATCAATAGGAGTATAGCATCTAGATCAAGGGAAGTAATAGTGCCACTGTATTCTGCTCTGGTCAGACCTCACCTGGAGTACTGTGTCCAGTTCTGGGCACCACAGTTCAAGAAGGACACTGACAAACTGGAATGTGTCCAGAGGAGGGCAACCAAGATGGTCAAAGGCCTGGAAACGATGCCTTATGAGGAACGGCTAAGGGAGCTGGGCATGTTTAGCCTGGAGAAGAGGAGGTTAAGGGGTGATATGATAGCCATGTTCCAATATATAAAACGATGTCACATAGAGGAGGGAGAAAGGTTGTTTTCTGCTGCTCCAGAGAAGCGGACACGGAGCAATGGATCCAAACTACAAGAAAGAAGATTCCACCTAAACATTAGGAAGAACTTCCTGACAGTAAGAGCTGTTCGACAGTGGAATTTGCTGCCAAGGAGTGTGGTGGAGTCTCCTTCTTTGGAGGTCTTTAAGCAGTGGCTTGACAACCGTATGTCAGGAGTGCTCTGATAGTGTTTCCTGCTTGGCAGGGGGTTGGACTCGATGGCCCTTGTGGTCTCTTCCAGCTCTATGATTCTATGATTCTAAGGCTCCAACCTGATTTTTGACAGGAGTAAGAGTCCTATTTGCATAATACACCTGTGTTCGAAAATCTCACTGGCTGCCAATTTGCTACTGGGCCAAGTTCAAGGTATTACTCTAGGTAAATAAAGACCTTATTTATGTAAGAGCCTTACCCATAAGGCACCCATTTGATAATTCAGACGGCAGAACTGGCACTTTTACAAGTGCCACGTGAAGTCCATTCCACATTGCAAAGCGTCATTCTGTTAAGTGTTGCAGAATCTACTCTCTGAAACACCTCCCTATTATACTAGGAACACACTTTCATTGTATTGTTTATGGCACCTATGTAATAAAAACTTTTGTTTGGGCACAGCTACCTAGACATGTAATATTATTATTATTGGTATATTTTTTTATCTACTTTTCAAAATAATATCAGTAGTGTCTTACGAATATTTTATATTGTTTTATGTAAAGCACTTAAGAGATTTTGAGTAAACACTATATCTCATGAAATAATGAGTTGTGTTTTAAATACCATATTTTCCGCCCTATAGGACACATTTTTTCCCCTCCAAAAATGAAGGGGAAATGTGTGTGCGTCCTATGGGGCAAATGCAGGCTTTCGCTGAAGCCTGGAGAGCGAGAGGGGTCGGTGCGCACCGACCCCGCTCGCTCTCCACGCTTCAGGAAGCTATGCGCAAGCCATGGGAGCCCGGGGCGAAGCCACGCCGGGCTCTGGAGGGTTGCGCGGAGCTGCCTGCGCTCCCGGGCTTTGCGCAGCTCTGCGCAACCCTCAGGAGCTCGGCGCGAAGCCGCACTGGGCTCCCAAAGGTTGCGCAGAGCTGCCTGCATTCCGAAGCCTCTGCCGCGCTGAAGAGCGCACCCGGGCTTCGCACAGCTCTCCGCAAGCCTGGGGAGACCGTTGCGTATCCCTAGGCTTGCGGATAGCAGGCTGTTCTGGGGGCTGGGGTCGGGGGAAGCTCGGGCTTCCCCCGTGCCAGCCCCGTGCTTGGGGGGGAAATATATTTTTTTATTTCCCCCCCCCAAAAAAAACTAGGTGCGTCCTATGGGGCGGTGCGCCCTATGGGGGGAAAAATACGGTATATAAATAACTTAATTCCGTGTTGGTCAATTGTTCTGTATTAAAAAATAATAAATTTATAGTTTTAATGATTTTATTGTACATTGCCATGATGTTTTTTTATGAGCGAGTGCTTTAGAAATATTCTCATTAATTAAATAAAAATGACAAGATCTTGCTGACAGATATACCTAGATACAGGTTTACATGCTTATCCACAGTTCATACAAATTAGGCTTCTATGCAGTTCTATCTAATTGAAAACAGGGGGGCTCCTGGTTGGGTGCATTAATATCCTGATCATGTTGCACATTCTCTTCAGTTAAGCACTTAGAATCATTGACGTGACTAGCACCGGCATCTATGAAGACTGCCAGAGTGCAAAACACTGGTAATACTATTCGTAGAATGAAATAAAGTGCACTGACAAATATCACTCACCCACCATAACCAGCAAGGGATGCGTGACAAAAACATGGCACCCCACCAATAATTTTCAAATGCAGTTTCTTTCTTATTAACTGATTGGGAGAATGGTAACAAACTGAACTGGTGCCCTAGAACATGTCATAGTATCATCAGCAATATAAAGGGGATCCTCATGGAAGTCTCCTGAAGATTTAAAAAATAGCTGCTATAGAGATGCATTTGCAACATTATAATTTCTTATCCTGTCTGTTGGGTTCCTGGAACAGACAGACTCTACAGGAAAGTATATATTTTTTCTACTTCAGATTTCCAACTCTCTCTGGCTTTTCATGAGTATCTACTCTTATAGCTCCATCTACAGGCTTAACTGTAAATTTTCATTTCCCAAGACCCATTGCAGGGAACTGATTCCACTTAAACAATTAAGCAATCACTAATTTTCTGACTCAACTTTTTGTAACTGAATAAATATTGCCACACTGGGTGACATTACAGAACAGCCTTATGTCCCTAATATTTTACTTAAGCTGTGTTCCTACAGGTAGACTGTTTGGAGAATTGAAAGGGTTATTAGGAAGAACAACACTCCTTTGTTTTACATTCTATCCAAGGCAGAGCTGCAAAATGCTGCCACTCAGACAGGAGAAAAAGTAGACTTGTACTGGTGTGCCTCTTCTACCATTCTGCCTTGCTCCATTTCTCTCCTTCCCAAGAGTGTAAGGTCCAACATATTCCTCAACTGCCTCACTGACAATTTCATTTCACAGACGGTGGAAGAAGCAATGAGGGGGTCATCTATCTTGGACCTGGTCCTCACCAACAGGGAGAAACTACTGCATTTGACAAAGTGGAAGTGCTGGGAACCTTGGGAAGAAGTGATCGTGTCCTCTTGGGTTTCATTATACACAGGCAAGGGAAAGCTGAGTGTTGTCAGACTTTAGACTTTAAAAAGCTGATTGCAAAAGCTGTAAGAACTACTGTGTGTAGTACTATGGCCAGAAATACTCAAAGAGAAGGGAGTCCAAGTGAACTACTGAAGGTACAAATGCAGACAATTCCAATAAGAAAAGTGGTAGGCATCGAAAGAAACCAGTGTGACAGCATTAGGAGCTTGCAGATGAGCTGAGATTTAAGAAGGCATGTATAAGAAATGAAGAAAGAGCAGCCAACAGTTGCAGGGAGAGGGTCAGGCAGGCCAAAGTTCCAAATGAGCTCAGGCTTGCAAGAGAGGTTAAAAATAATAAAAAAAGGTTTATTTGGCTATATTTGAAGCAAGAGGAAGCAGCATCAAGTAGTAGGTCCTCTGTGTGCAGAGTACAGAGAAATGCTATTATAATCTGTTTGAGCTTGCCGTAGAGGTATTGTATATTCTGTGCATGGTTGTACCTTCAAACCACTCTAGTTCCAGATTTGCTTTATTTTAAAAAATGCACACAATCTGCTTTATGGTGAAGGTTGTGTTTTACATACTTTCATGAAAGCAAGGTAAACAAAAAACCACAAAAGCTGCTTACTCAGCAACATTTAATGTAATTTCCAGTAAAATTTGTGCATCAATGATGGTCAACATATGGTACATTCATTGTATGCAAAATGCATTTCCTACTTAAGAGATTTTAATGGTAGAAATATAGGTTCTTGTGCACTTTGATAAAGACCAATGGTGGCTCTAATTGTACTTGATGAATAAAGTGCTAAAACCCATTTCATAAAATCAGCTTTTAGCACTATATAGCTGGTTTTAGTGTAATTAAAGCTGAAAGGCTACTATCCTTCTAATGCACAATGCAATACAAGAAGCAAACAGTAATAAATCAAGAAGATTTGGTCAAGTGTGCAAACTACTTTCGAAACATGTTGTGCAATAACTTCATTACTAAGAGCACTCAATAACAGGCACAGATGTACCAACAAAGCAGGGTACTGACTGCTGCAGCGGGACGGGGAAGACAACGGATGGATACAGTAATCGCATTTGATGCTGAATTTAGAGACGACTTTTAGACTCCTCTGTGTTTAAGCCATCTCCCGAAGCATCCTGGGCAGCACCTAGTCACGCACTGGACAGAAACTCCACAGCAGTCTCCTTTTCGTCAGTGAGCTCTTTAGCAGTCAAATCCATCTTCTCACGGGAGAAGTCATTAACAGGAAGGCCTTCGACCAACTTCCATGTTTTATCCTGTGAAAAATGAATTGGTGACTTCTAAAGCCTTTAAACCATAGCAAATTTCAACTCCACAGTGTTACAGGATAAAGGTGTGACAGGGCTATTGATTAGGTCAGCCTTTCCTGCTGACTGGGGATAATGGGAGGTGTCCTCCAAAACAGCAGGAGGGCACCAGCTTGGAGAAGGTTGGATTAGGTATTCACTAGCCTCTGCACAGGAGCTTAAAACAAACTAGACATTAGATATAGGGAATCATGGAACCACAGACTTCTAATAAACAAGCTGGTCATTCCCAACCAGCAGAGGTGTTTTAGGGAACTTTAAGAATGTATTCTTCACACTTTGCCAAATTAGAACTCCAAGTATTTTTTGGAGAAAGCTACGTTAAACTGTTATGAAAATAATGTAAGTGTTGCATATGATTTGAATGACCACCCTATGTCTACAGTTACTACGATACTGTATTCAATATATTATTGAGGTGGGGGCAAACCTTGATGATACCTTTGAAAGATGTGATGAACAATATTTTAGAAAAAGGAGATATCCCAGTAACATGGAAAGAAGTATTTATTACTTTGATTCCAAAACAGGATGCAGATATGTTACAAATTAAAAATTAGAAGGAAATCTCGTTGTTAGATAATGACTATAAACTGTTGTCAAGTATTTTAGCAAACAGATTAAAAAGAGTATTAAAAGATATAACACATGAAGACCAAGCTGGCTTTCTTCCTGGTAGTTAGATGAAAGATAACATAAGAAAAATAGTTGATATAATTGAATATTTGAAGACCAGGAATGATAAGCAAGCAGTGTTAATATTTATAGAGGCTATAAGTGTAAAAAAGCTAAATATGGAAAGAAATTGGGCCACCTATGAAGATTTGGTGATGGAAATAGATAATCAGTGGAAATTAAAATCTTATGAGGAAATTAAAAGTTTAGTAAAAGATTGGTTGCATTATGGTCAAAGAAATGAAATATTTAAAGAAGATTTAAAAAATAATGGATTTGAGTATATAAAATCCAGGTTTGAATTAGATTTGTTAAGCTCTAAAATTAAAATATTGTCAAAAATGTATAAATTACTTTTAGAATGGCATGTGAAAGATGAAGAAGTTAAATCTGTTATGGTACATTGGGCAAAAGATATTGGTTATAATATACAATTAGAAGATTGGGAAAAACTTTGGAAAGACGGAATAAATTTTACAGCTTGCAGTTCGCTTAAAGAAAATGTAATGAAAATGATGTACAGATGGTATATAACACCGGTGAAGTTAGCAAAAATGTACTGATCAGATAATCAATGTTGGAAATGTAAAGAAAAAGATGGTACCTTCTATCATATGTGGTGGGTTTTTAAGAAAGTGAAGGCTTTCTGGGAAATGATATACCTGTATAATGAACTTTAAAAAATGTTGAAATATACATTTGTAAAAAAACCAGAAGCCTTTTTACTGGGTATTGTAGGCAGAGAAATACATAAGTAAGATAAAACACTCTTTTTATATGCAACAATTATATGCAATTATTGGCCCAAAAATGGAAACGGGAAGAGATTCCGACAAAAGAAGAGTGGCAGAGGAAACTATTGGACTATGCAGATTTGGCGAAATTGACGGGGAAATTTTGGAACCAGCAAGACCAGACCTTTCTGAAAGACGGGAATAAATTTATGCTGTATTTGAAAGACAACTGTAAATAACTGACATTGTTAGTAGAGTTACAAGAAGTTTTATAAGGTTAGATGTATCATTTATTACTACAGTTGAACCTCTGTTTACGTAAACTTTGGGATGCGCCCAAGGAACACAACCGGAGGTACAACTGTAGTATGATTCTTAAATAGTTTATTTAAGATTAGGATTTCAGGGTAATAACAACAATAATAAAATGCAATTGTCAAGGCTGCCTCAAGTCTTAGCTCACAAAAGACCAACGCCTCTGTCTTCTTATATACAAAAGTGTTTATTGCAGTTCATGGTTTGCTTGACATCCTAGGCGCGCAGCCTTACGTCTTTTACGCTAGACCGCCGAAGTCCCCTCTGAGTCAGTTCCTCCCCTGCACCAATTTAAGAGACTTGCGCTGCTCCACCTCTTTCTCTCCTTCCTTTTCCGCAGGGTCCTTCTGCCCACTGGGGTTTCGCCCCTCCTGGATTCCTCTGATGCGGAATCCCCAGACTGCTCTTCCCCCCTCCTGCGGGCTTTGGGACCTGGCCCCTCCTCCGGGCTCCCTGCACTTCCGCGCGCCTCTACATTTGAACTAGGCGCGCGCGCCAAACCTCTAACTTTCCTTTTGACAGTTACACTACTCCCTTCACTGTCCCCTCCCCTTCCGGGAGGGCGGCTTGCTCTGACCCTCCTCCTTTCTCTGCTGCTGGAGCTGCTTCCTCTGACACACTGGAAACTCCACCCCCTTCGCTGCACTCTGGTGGGGAGGCTGGTCCTGACGCCCAGCTGCCACTTTGGGATCTTCCGCTAGCACCCTGCTCCTGACACTTCCCCCCTGGGGCTCCCTGGCCTTGACCACCGGCGCCCCCTTCTGGGAATCCTCTGATTCGCTGGAAAGACTCATGGAATCTCTTGAGTCATTGTCATCCTCTTCCTCGCTGGCTTGGAATTCCTCCCCCTCGCTCTCCATCTCCTGCCTACCCTGTGCCTCTCTCCCTGAACCCCTGACAGCAATATTAGAGTATAAATAGGAAAACCATTAGTCGAGGAGGAGGGAAGTCTCAGGCTGAGATGGCCAAGTGGTTTTTATATATTATATGTAAGATGTATGTTTTGCCTAAAAAATATTTGTAAAACTCAATAAAAATTATTTCAACAACAACAACAAAATAGAGGTGTGGGAGGGAGTTTAACATTACACAAAGGTGATTGTTCTGTCAGGCCAAGCATTTTAGCTTTTCTAAAATGCCCCTTGCGTGCTGTTCTGAGGGTTCTCCTGACCCGCTCCCCAAAGCCAGTTTTGAGGGGGAATGACGAGGAGAGAAGGGGAGCCCCACTGCACAAACAGAAACCCTTCACAGTGGCTCCACTTGCAGGACTCATTAGTTAAATCCTGCACTATGTGCTTTAGGGGTAGTATCTAAACTGCTGTTGCTGTTTTATAGATACTTTAATGCTCACGGTAGTGATGTCCACATTGCACTTGTGCTTCTTGAACTTTGCACAGTATCACATTTACTTAACAAGTATTTCAGAAACTGCATATTTTTTACATACCTTTATTACAACAGGAAATGAATAGATCAGATCTTCAGGGACACCATATGAATTTCCATCAGAAATAACACCCATGGAAACAAATTCACCCTTTAAATAAGAACACAAATAAATAGTGTAGTACTTTCCCAATTATTTACTTCACATTTGGCATAAGCATATATCGTTCTGAAGGAAGGGTCTGCATCCTGTTACAATTCTTTGCATTCCAGAATATCAACTTGCCATTTTTCTCTTTACACTTATGATCAGTTTTATCACAAGAAATTCATGAAAGCATATATAAGATTATCAGGTGATCAGCTGTATGCCTAATATAAAGGAAGTATATACTAACCTTTAAACAGCTATTATCAAAGCTAGCTTCTTTATGGGCTGCTGCAACACTTACCTCTGGAGTGCCAAACCACAGGTCTCTCACATGATCACAGATAGCTTTGGCTGCCGACATTGCACTTGATAGCTTCCTGGCTTTAATAACAGCTGCACCTCGCTGCTGAACAGTCTGTAGTATTGACAGAGGAAAATTACTGGACTATTTGCACCTACTACCATAATTACTCATTATTATAATGAGTCCAAGACAGAGAGGCTACCAAAAACTCCCAGAGTAGCTTTCAGATAAATAAAACACAAGACATTCCTTGCCTTCAAAGATTACAATCTAGAACACAAAAGAACAGGGAATATACCAACTTCACATGAAGTCTACAGAACAGGCATAGGCACATGCAGTCCTCCAGATGTTTTGGGACTACAATTCCCATCATCCCTGACCACTGGTCTTGTTAGGTAGGGATCACGGGAGTTGTAGTCCTAAAACATCTGGAGGGCCAAGGTTGCCGATGGCTGCAATAGAGCTTTACAAAACTCAGGCTGAATTTAATCAGATTTAGGAATTTAATCAGATCCATGGACATTAACCTTTTATCTTGATATTGTTGCTGGGGTTTTTTGTTTGCATCCTGCCACATAACAGTTCTGGAATAATGTATGGGGAGAGTTTTTTCTTCTACCGCATAAAGTAACAACCTATGTGAAAGATCCAGAATAGATTAGGGCTGGGTAAGATTTGGTTTTCAACATTATGATCTATCAGCAGCTATATACGCTGATATATCACAATGCCTGAAAAGTATCTCGGCTGCTTCCTCCTCCTCACCTTAGGGGAGGAAGGCGCAGCCAAGATACGTTGCTCAGCCCCATACCACTCTGACTGCTGCAAGAGAAGTATGAGGGCTTGAACAGCTGAGGGGTGGCTCCCTCAAAGGTGCCTGCCTGCCTTTGCTCAAGAAGCCAGGCAGCGTGTCTTAATTTTTCTTTTAAAAAAGTAAGATAAACAAATTTTAAACAATTCGACATTTCAAATTTAGCAATCAATCATTCCACCTACAAAATTCTCTCCCTTCCTCCATGGTTCCCTCAAAATTTCAATTTGTGCTGCATATTATAGTTACTCTATACCTTCACCTTATCTCACAGTAAAAACAAAAAGTGCACCCCCACTGCTGTTCTCACTCAAATCCTCAAATCTTACTTACCAATTCTACATATTCTATCTATTTCAGCTGCCATTCTTCTTTGGTAGGTATCACCTCATCACACCATTTTTGTGCGTACAATATTTGTGCTACCGTGGTTGCGTAAAGAAATAGATTTATACGAGTTTTTTGGATATCTGCTCCAGCTATCCCTAGTAAAAAAAAAGCTTCTGGGTGTGTGTTTTTTTGGGGGGGGATTACCTTGAATATCCTTTTCAACTCATTATAAATCATTTCCCAAAAGTCCTTAGTTACTTTGCACGGCCACCACATTCCCAACAAAGATTAGATGTTGATTTATAAATTTTGGCTAATTTACTTGGTGTTAGGTACCATCTACATATCATTTTCATAAAATTCTCCCTCAAGGTATAACATGCCTAGCCCAATAGCAGATTAAACAATTTCGTCTTGGGTTTCCTATACTAACAATATCTTATACATCCTCGAAATCAGTTTTTCTCTATTTTCTATTGGTTCCCTTTCAGACTGAGAACTTTGATCATCAAAGCCACACTTTTTATGACATTTGAACATTTCATTCAGTTGGTAGTAATGCAACCAACTCATTACCTGATTTCTAATATCCTCAAACTTTTTCATTTTACATCTTTTTCTGTAAAATGCCGTAAGTCTCTCTATATTGACTACTTCTTTTCCATGTTCAAATTCTTCTGGGAGATTGCTTCCTTAGCTACAATAGCACTGAAATAAAGCGTATGGGGGAATTGTGTCTCTATGCAGTGGTCCCACTGGTGTAGGGCATACAGTCCTGGGAAAAAGAAAACCCTCTTTGAATTCTGAATTCAGACACTCTGTAATATGACATGTTTTGTTGCTCATCTGGGGTTCTATTTACCTAATTTTAAGACCTGCTAAGGAACAGATGGTTGTTATTATGTCCTCATATGTAAAACCACAGAATTCAAGGTGAGTGTACTTTCTTTTCCCCATGACTATACATGCACAGAGTTTATCTACATGCAAATGTCAGAGCATGGCCACTGTACAAAACCGCTAATGTAGAAGCTGATATTCTGAAATCCTGACTCTGGAACATCTGCTACTCATGTTACGTTGCTGCAATAGACAAGACAAGAAAAAACGAAATCACCCACATTATTAACTTACAGTAATGAAGTCACCCTTGAGCCAGTTATCATTCTTCACAGCTTCATAAACTCCAATATCTTTTCCTTGCACTTTCACCTTGGCATGATTAACATCTGGATACTGAGTAGAGGAGTGATTCCCCCAGATGATGCAGTTCTTAACATCCCTGGCAGTCACACCAACTTTGATAGCAATCTAGTTTTATTGAGGGTAGGAAGCAGAAAATGCCAAGATCAGATGTAATTTGAAGCATTTAGATTCCCTACCCCTTTTAAACAAATTATTTCAAAAAACTGGCTTACATAAAGAACAAAAAAGTGTTTTCTATAACTTAGAAGAGAGTTCCTACCTGGGATTTAGCTCTGTTGTGATCCAGACGGGTTAAACAACTGAAATTCTCCTTTGGTATAGATGGAGCAGACTTTGAGGCAATCAGGCAGTTGGTATTTGCTGGATTGCCTACCACAATAACCTGATTGGGGGGCAAGGAAGAAAGTGGACTATTTACTGCAAGTCTGTCAAGTGACCAACCAGCTAAACCACAATTGCTGAGATTTCAGATGGGATTTATAGTTTAGAGATTTTTTTTTAATGCTAAAGCAGTATATAAATTGTGTAAACCAACATTTCACTGATCATGTGGAAATTGAAATCTGATAAATGGCAAACTACTAAACTAGAAACATTTTGTAAACTGGTTAACAAGACAAATGATACAAAAATGTCTTCCCCCCCCTTTTAAAGACTCAGGTAGCTTAAAACGTGGATGCTCAACTTTAATTAAAGAAGTGCCAACTTCATTTCTGTATTCAAAGTACTTCACATGTTATGATAGCAATCCTTTTAACAGCTTAAAGGGTAGACCAGACTTAGTGTCCTTATATTATGGACAGAAGTAAGAGAGTGACAATGATGAGATGATATGTAAATCAGCAATCTCTTGAGGCACAGCTCATTCTCTTAGCAACCACGTCACACCAGCTGTATTCACCTTAACAGTCTTCTTTGCATACTTGTCCAATGCAGCTCCTTGTGACTTAAAAATTTTCACATTTGCCTTGAGCAGATCTTTGCGTTCCATGCCCTCTTTCCTTGGCATGGAGCCAACTAGGATGGCTATATCAAGGTCTTTAAATGCAACATCTTCTTTGTCAGTTGCAATTACCTCTGTAAGTAGAGAGGAAGAGGGCTGAAAGATGAGTTTATGGTAAAACTATGAGGGGAAACCAGTGCCTTCAGAACTAATCATAACCAAAATCCCAAAGCATATCAAAAAGTCTGCCACTGCTTCTGCTCAAGTGTCAATTCTCTCTTTTTCTAATGCCTCAACCTAATGCCTTTTCTCTAATGCCTCAACCTATTAATAAATTGTGAAGTGAATTTGCTTCGTGACTTCCATGATCCAAACTGGTCTAAACTTTGTTTAGATTAGTGTTTCTCAAACTTGGCTCTCCAGCTGTTGCTGGACTACAACCCATCATTCATAACCACTGGTCATGCTAGCTAGGTATGATGGAAGTTGTAGTCCAACAGCAGCTGGAAAGCCTAGTTTGAAAGCACTGTTTAGATGCAAGCCAAAAGAAAACACAAGCCTCCTTTTTCTCCCGTTTTTTTCAAGGTTATTGAAATAATGATTCAGTGGCCACTTTATTAGGTAAGCATAACCAAAGGCAAAAGCTTTCAGCACTGAAATTAACTACATCACACGAATGTACAATCACTGAATCAGTGTGAGGTAGGTTTCTATTAAATTTGACTTTCTTTTAATTGGCACTAGTGGTCAGTAGAGCAAAACGTGCAAGTATACTACCGGACAAGCTTCCCCAGTGCTTTGAAAATTATTTTCTTCCACCACAGACTATACCTCCCATAGTCTGCTTAATGTGTTGGGCTTAAAAATCTTACATTTAATTCCTCATGCAAGCCAACATCTCTTCAATTTACAGAATGGCAAAATGGTCCTCTTTTGCCCTGACATATATGGCCACTACACTGAACAATGCTGTTAAATCTGGCAGTAATGTGTCTCTCATTTGCCTATATATTTCAAACCTAAGCATCTGCAGACAGAGCACAAACTGAATTTTCTTGTCACCTCTTAACAGAGGAAGAGCACAGTCTTGCAATTCCATAAGTACGCCATCCAATACAGTCATCATGGGAGTGATATCCAATAGCACAAGAATAAGAGGCTGTAAAGCAACAACAGTTGTGTCAGTTACTTAGTTTATTTAACACTGATCAGATTACATGTAAGATCAAATTAAATTAGATTCCTTGTCCTGTTTGTACCACCATATTAATGAAGTACAAAATATATTTAAGAATAATTTATAATTTGTCAGAATCTTTCTTACCATTCTATACAATGAATATATATTAAAAAACTCATTTCTGCATAATGGAATCTCACTTTCCCTCCACAAGATAGTCATTTTAATAACAATTGACAAAAAAGTCAATGAGGCCCTTTTCTTGCACTGGATGTCTGTTAACAACTGCAGAGTTGACCTTTGTGCTCATATGGACTGCTTATGGGTATGCTATCATTCATTTTATCCATTACCTGATCTGCTCCGAAGACATCACCCTTAGCAATGCCGTAGAGCAGAGAGTAGGCAATCTGTCCAGCAGCACCAGTCACGAGGACTTTGATTGGTTTTGACTGAAAGAGAAAGAATATTTGTAGATTTCCATAAACACGTTTTCTCTTGTTACTGTAGAATGAACTTTCATAAAAGTTAGCGTTTGGCAAATAATTTGTCAGGAAGGTTGTTAGGAGGTCTATGATTCAGCTAACCTTCCAACTGTGAACAAACCAGACTGCCAGGAATTCATTATAATTATTCAGTCTTGGGACAGCCAAAACACGTTTTAAACTTATAAACAGAACAGAAACGTTAAAAGGACAAATCTCCCATGCAGAATACAGAAACATCAATATTCCGTACCAGCCTAAACATGAGCTATTTTAAAGAGATTTCTCAAAAACTACAGTCTTTGGAAACACGGCAGTTACATGTAGAAAATGAAAAGCTGAAAGACAATTTTTATTTAAGACCACCATATAACAAGACAAGGGTGAAAAATATACTAGGTAACCTTATACTGTCAGATATATATGAGAATATAAAGTGCCTTGCAACTTTTGGTATCTACAATTAAACATCTGACTTTAGGCAATGACATAGGAAACTGACACACTGTTATAGAGAACATGCATGCACATATTTAATAGATCTTATGGGGAGCAGTTCTTCTTATGCTTGTACCCTGCCTTTCTTTCATCATGGAACCCAATGTGGCCATATGTGGTTTCCATTTAGGCACTGGCCAGATCTGCTCTCACACCAAACTCATGGGGTAAGCTAAGTGTTGTGCTCATTTAAGGAATGTATTTGAGTCTATTCATTGCTAGCAAAATGATGCAGGCTGCTATTTCAAAGCAGAGAAATTTCAGCTCACTCAAGCAACAGCTCTTAGATTAAAAAGTTTGAACAAAAGAAATGATGTGGCCTCAAGAAAAACAAAATGCAAGTTTCAACAAGGGAAAAAAAGTCTGCTATTTTATATCTGATGCACTACTTTAACTTAGCAAGACAATGTTTTTCAGGTTTAGTAGGATTTGCAACTTATGTAATGTTGGATGCCAGCTATTTGAAGTCTGTATTAATTACAATCCCCAAGATCCTCTTCCTAAGTTACTGGTGTTGGCCAGTTTACAGTAACTGGATAAAATAATCATGGTTATCAACAAAAAGAACTGGTTTAAACTAGAGAAATACAAATCCATTTAAATGTTATGATTAATTATGAGTAAAGAACCTATACTAGTGAAAGCAATCATGAAAGACAATGCATCATACCTGTAAAGGGAAGGAGAAAGTTAAATAGACTTATTAGTACAGTGGTACCTCGGGTTACATACACTTCAAGTTACATACGTTTCAGGTTACAGACTCCACTAACCCAGAAATAGTACCTCGGGTTAAGAACTTTGCTTCAGGATGAGAACAGAAATCATGCTCCGGCGGCGTGGCAGCAGCAGGAGGCCCCATTAGCTAAAGTGGTGCTTCAGGTTAAGAACAGTTTCAGGTTAAGAACGGACCTCCGGAACAAATTAAGTTCTTAACCTGAGGTACCAGTGTATTAGTTATTAATACAGTGGTGCCCCGCAAGACGAATGCCTCGCAAGACGGAAAACCCGCTAGATGAAAGGGTTTTCCGTTTTTGAGTTGCTTCGCAGGACGAATTTCCCTATGGGCTTGCTTCGCAAGACGAAAATGTCTTGCAAGTCTTGAGATATTTTTTTCGCTCCCCCCCCCGTGATCTAATCTGCTAAGCCTTTAATAGCCTTTTAGCAGCTAATCCGCTAAGCCTTTAAGCCTTTAATAGCCGCTAAACCGCTAATAGCGCTAATCCGTTAAGCCGCTAATAGGGTTGCTTCGCAAGACGAAAAAACCGCTAGACGAAGACTCTCGCGGAACGGATTAATTTCGTCTTGCGAGGCACCACTGTATTGTTACTAGAATTCTGGCTTCCTTGTATCTTTGGAGAGGCATAATTACCACAATACCTCAAGGACTGCCTCTCCCCATATTATCTGACCTGGACTCTGCAATCATTATCTGATGCCCTTCTATGTGTGCCTCCTCCACAAAAGGGTGGCAAGACAGGAATGGGCCTTTTCTGCAGTGGATCCCTGCAGGGATACTCTTCCCAGTAAGGCTCACCTGGTGCCTTCATTATACACCTTTAGACGCCAGGCAAAAATGTTCCTTTTCAACCAGGCCTTTGGGCTGTGTTATACGAAGTATTCCCAACTCTCACCTGTCACAAGTTCCATGTAACTTCTCCCTGCTGTTTTCAGAAAAGCAACAACTGCCAACATACTTTCAGCACCCTTCCCCATGTGAAGTCATGACTGTAAGCTCAACTTAAAATTGCGTGCAATTAATAATTCTCATAATTCTGCGTATAATATTGGCTTCTTCACTGAGTGCCAGAGCCTGCAGCTGGGAGTGTGAGGGAGGTGACTTGGCACCACACAAGTTTCCAGATCCCTTCAGTTTAGACTGGGAGTGAACTGTGGACTCCTTTTATCTCCAAGCAGTGGGTATGTAGGTCAGGGCTGTTGGAAGTCCAAAACAACTGGAATGCTCATGCGGGCTACCACAAACTTAGTAGATGCACAAGCATGTTGATCCACCTACAGTTCTTCCATATTTCAACAGCGCTGCTGTGTTACTATAAAAGCTCACAGTGTTATCTGTAAAGATTTAAATGCTTTTTTAAAAAAAGGTAACTTGTATAATTTGTTACTAAGAGTTACTAAGAGTTAATTCTTTATACCATCTCTGGTTTTACTGCAGAATATGTCCTGTGCTCTGACATCATCAGGATTAAATGGTGTGTTGGGGATTATGGGGGAGATTGCTGCAATCAACATTCCTGCTTTCACGGGCGTTTTATTAATGATGCCATTCATTTAGTCTCTAGTAGTTAAAGTAAATCAATATTTTCCCTCCAGGGTTGTGCTACAAGTCAACAGTGACAGTTTCTTTATTCCAGATGCTTCTGTGGCATAGCTATACAGCACCGTCTCTTTATACAATTTTGGTGCCTAATTGCTTCCATCACAGACTGCACTAATTTAACAGCCTGATCCTGTGAGCTTTTATACCTTTACCCCTTAAGACAAAATATCTTTAAAAGCTTCTTAAAAGGTAAAGGTAAAGGGACCCCTGATCGTTAGGTCCAGTCGTGGCCGACTCTGGGGTTGCGGCGCTCATCTCGCTTAATTAGCCGAGGGAGCTGGCGAACAGCTTCTGGGTCATGTGGCCAGAATCACTAAGCCACTTCTGGCAAACCAGAGCAGCGCACGGAAACGCTGTTTACCTTCCTGCCGGAGCGGTACCTATTTATCTACTTGCACTTTGATGTGCTTTTGAGCTGCTAGGTTGGCAGGAGCAGGGAGCGAGCAATGGGAGCTCACCCCGTTGCGGGGATTCGAATCGCCGACCTTCTGATCAGCAAGTCCTTGGCTCTGTGGTTTAACCCACTGCGCCACCCGCATCCCTAGCGCCAAAAGCATTTAAATCTTTACAGATAACACTCTTACTTGTTACCTAATAAAGTGTTATGAGCTGCAGACCATAAGGAAAAGGGTGTGTCTTATGGGACACCCATTGCCTCCTCTCAGTGGATGAACAGCTATATGGTCACATACCATAAACCAGATAAAATTTTGCAATTGATTTGCACAATCATAACACAGTGAATATAAAGTTGCACCTTAAGTCAGTCCTTTCATCAGAAGGCATCAGACTATGGCTATGGCCCCAACCAGAATTTGGAAGTTTGCCTACTTGAAGAGCACCTTGAAAGTCATACAAGGAGACATTCCAGCAATACCAGTAAGTCACACACTGCTGAAATTGAAGACGATAAATGGGGCATTGTTATTGAGCAAGGCTGCCAGTGCTCTCTGCAGCTGTCCCCTCAAGTGCTATATACCCTGGTTACTAATGAACAACAGTGACATAAAATTTGAGAAAAATATTTTCCCTTCCTGCCCCATCACCGCTTGTAGGTTACCTTCCAAGCCAAGCAGATACTTTTCCAATTTACAAGGAGTTTGGATTTGATATCCCGCCTTTCACTGCCTTTAAGGAGTCTCAAAGCGGCTAACGTTCTCCTTTCCCTTCCTCCCCCACAACAAGCACTCTGTGAGGTGAGTGGGGCTGACAGACTTCCAAGAAGTGTGACTGGCCCAAGGTCACCCAGCAGCTGCAGGTGGAGGAGCGGAGACGCGAACCCGGTTTCCCAGATTACAAGACTACCGCTCTTAACCACTACACCACACTGGCACCACAAAGGCTTATGATAGCAAAAAGAATGTAACTGGGTAGAGCTTCTTCTCACATACTCTGTAAAAACAGAGAGCCAAGGCAGCGTGCATCACAAAACCCAAGTACAGTGGTACCTCGGGTTAAGAACTTACCATAATTTGTTCCGGAGGTCTGTTCTTAACCTGAGGTACCACTTTAGCTAATGGGGCCTCCTGCTGCCACCACGCCGCTGGAGCACGATTTCTGTTCTCATCCTGAAGCAAAGTTCTTAACCTGAGGTACTATTTCTGGGTTAGCGGAGTCTGTAACCTGAAACATACGTAACCTGAAGCGTATGTAACCCGAGGTACCACTGTACTGAAGCCCAGAAAATGTTTTCATTGCTTGCACTGCAGTTGCAAAATGGGAGAACAGCAGCTATGGGCTTGCTCTGATTTACCAGGACTTTCATGCATGGTTGAAGATCTATCACTCCAACTCTCCTTTGTCCTTGCCACATGTATTCATAGAACCATAGGATTGTAGAGCTGGAAGGAACCACTATATAAAGTGGTTTAATAAATAAATAAATAAATAAAGTAAGTAAGTAAGTGGGGCGTGAACACATGACCAAGAGATTTAAGAGTCTCATGTGCAACACACTAATCTACTGAGCATGTAACTCAGCCAAGGGGACCCCGATGTCTCATCCTACACCACGCTCAACCCCCACGCAGTTACCTGAGCCGGTGCTCAAATTATGGTGGCAAATTACGTCAGCACTGCTCGTGGGTCTGGTTTTTCCCCATTAACCCCATCTGCCCCAGCCCGATTAGTCGACCCCAGTCCCTGGCTCGCCTTTTGAAATAGAGGGACCCCCCCCCCGCCCGGGTCCCTGCCCCCCGACCCCGCCCTTCGAGAGCAGAGCCTTCAGGCGCCCGCCCGCAGGTGGGAAGTTTCCTCCCCTTGCGCTGGTCTGACCAGGTCGCCGCTGCCCCTCCGCCCCGCAGCTGCCTTCGCTGCCCTCCATTTCACTGCGGGTTAAGGCGTCCCCTTCGCCGCCGCTCCAGGATCTCGTCAGAACCTCCTGCCTCCCACCCAGCCGAGGAAATAATGCGATTCATTTTAAAAGGCTTCACAATCTGATCCCGAGCTCAGCGTCACTGACCATGGCGGCGGCGGCGGAAGAAGAAGCGCGCTCTCTCTCTCTCCCGGCAGGTCACCTTCTCCCGAGGAGCAGCAGTCGGCGGCGACAGCAGAGAAGGCGGAGCTCCGAAAAAGCCACGCCCCGCTCTCGGCGCCGCCTCTCGCTTTGCCACCTGGAAGTTGTAGTCCGTAGCTCCCCAGACGGCATGTGGCGCGGAATCAAGGTTGCGGCCCAGGAGAACTACAAGGCCCAGGACGCACCGGAGCCGGCATTTGCCCTCAGTCGTACGTCCGCTGAGGGAAGAGGGGGGCGGAGAGCGGGAGGAGGGAAGACTCGGCTTTCGCCTTGACGTAGAAGTCACGCGCTTCTCTCAAGAGGAAGGTGGGGGGCAGTTGGGGCGCATGCGCAGAAGGCGCCTGAAGGGCTCGTGATTTGAGGCGCCCGGGAGTTTTGCTTGCAGTTCATGGATTTTAGCTGGCAGCACGGATTTGAAGTAACAGCTTTCAAACAATTTTCAGACGGAAAACTGAAAAAAACGAAGACGGAGAAACTCAAAAACCAGGATGAACTTTCATGGACGACAGTACATTCCCATCAGATATATGAGCCCGGTCTTGGCTGGGGAGGGCGGGGTATAAATAAAAATTATTATTATTAATACTAATAATAATGAAGTGTTACTCTGAATTCCAGGTGGGGAGAGAGGAAATTATAAACAGTGACGTCCATAGCAAATTAAATGCCAAAAAGAACAGACAGTAACAGTTAATGTATATTAACAGTGGGGGCTGCAAAAAAAAAAATCAGTTATTAACAGCACAAAAAATCTATCTTTGGTGAGGTGGCAGACTCTCCTTTCTTGGAGGTTTTAGGCAGAGGTTGGGTTGCAATCTGTCAATGGATGATTTAGCTGAGATTCCTGCATTGCAGGTAGTTGGACTAGATGGCCCTCGGGGTCCCTTCCAACTCTACAATTCTATGATTCTATTATAAAGATACTTTGTATGGCTTGCCATGGCAGAGGCTGCTCATTTCATCAGAGCCGTTTCGCACGGAATATTTTGAGGATGAGATGGGAGTAATCATCCTCCCAACCCTGCCAGGACCGGAGGGGAGGGAGCTTCACCCACAGATCGCCCAACACCTGCCCCCAATCCAGAAGGCATGAGGGCTGGGGACGCTGGGTGGAAAGCACCGTGTGTCTCTTTCGCAACTCTCCAATGAGCAAACTCCTGTTTTTTAAGATTAAAATTCGGACTTAATTAACGGGCATGCTCTGAGTGAGCAGAGATAAACTACTAATTGATTCAGCCACTGAGGAGCTAAAGGATTCGAGTGGAAGAGGGGTTATCATCACAATGGAACTGGTATGTTGGAACAAAAGGGGGGTGAGTCTTTCTTGCTTCTTTTTGATATACTTCATATTTGCTATTTTACTTGGCAAATCTCCCTGGAAGGACTGACTACCGATTGATTATGCATGCAAGCGTGATTGGAGAATATTCTAATATTTAAGACTCATTTTGACCTTATTATTAACTTTGTGGAAAAGATTTAGGAAGCTGCAATTAATTCTAAATGATCGTTAAGAATGGAAGATGGGAATTGAGGCTTCTAGCTAAAGTATGGGCTTAACTGATCTGGACAGAGATAAAATGAAGAGGTTTGGAAATATGCCTGGTACAATTGGCAGAAAGTCAGATTTCCTCCATTTTGGAATGTGTCGCGGTTGATAATTACAGGCACAAAGAAGTGAAAGTGAAAGACATGGAAGAAAATAAACACCCACACAAAAACATATTGTTTGATTTAACTCACTTGCAAGACAAACTCAGAGGCTGCGAAAAATGAACAAAGGATTAACATCGGATTGATTTATGGGAATCACCTGGACTAACTTAGAGACGCAGCACAAATGTGAGATGATTGCTATCCCCCAACCTCAGAGCATGGGAAGGCAAACAAAGATTTATAATTTGGAATAATACATGGACTGTTTGATTATTTTATAATTTGGAATGTTTTTAATGTGGCTTTTATTGGATTCTTAAATTGGAAAACTTAATAAATATTATTATATATGTATAAAAAAATACTTTGTTCCAATTCAGTCCATAATTGATGGCACTGAATCTCATGAAGAATTGTAAGCCAGCAGCTTTGCACTGTAGTCTCCTTTGTGAAGTTCCTTTGTTTTTCATACAGTTCTTTTAAAACAACTTTCCATGCTGCTTACCTGACAGAAGACATTTGGGATATAAATGTACAAAAATAGATAATGTTGATAACTGATATCCTCAGCTTGAACAGAGCCAATGAGGCAAATCTAAAAAACAAACAAACATGGAAATGCTACATAGATCAACCCTCAATGAGATGCAGAAAAAGTATATTTCAGAAAGAATTGCAAGTAATAATGACATCTACAAACAGATATAAAAACACAACAAATTGGAATTTATTGACATTGTACCCGTCCACTTCCTGCACTTGTGGAAATGAAGCAGAAGGAAAAAAGGAAGAGAATTTTTGGTCTTGAACTTTCTCATGACTATGGCTGGCTAGGACTATGATTTTGGAGTGAAAAAGCATTGGAAACAGCTTGACCTTTTCATAAAAGCTTCTGCTGTGCAGCTCCTATGACTCTTGAAGGAGACTGAAATTTCCAGGAACTCTTTCAATCTTACATTCTGCCACATTAATAGCCCAGTTTGGAGTTCTTCCCAATTCCTTTTTTGTTTTTGCTACCCTTAATAATTAATTATGCAGACACTTGGCCACCTGACTACTCACCCTTAATTTCAGATCATCCATGAAGACCCAAAACAGATCCTGTGCACACAGGAGTGAGGGGAGACTGTCGGAAATCAAGCCTTTATCAGGAGAAACTGGCAACTCTCCCAGGCACCCGGCTTGGTCTCCTGTTGACCTCCCTGCCTGCTTTCCCGGCAAGATCCAGGCAGAGGTCGCAATAGGCGATCCTTCTCAGCGTGAGAAGAACACACCCCTCTTTCCCCCGGCAGGGGAAAGAGATAGACAGAAACGTATTTACATGCCTTTATTTCTGTCTTTGCAGCGTTACAGAAAACATGACTGCTCTCTTCATACTCCTGCAGTTGAGAGAGAACAAACACTTCTTGTCCAGCTCATATTACACTCTGAGCTAATTCCGGTGCCCTCTGCACTGTGAATTGACTGTCCCTCTGTTTCCCACGGAACAGTCCCAACATTCCATCATGTGCTGTTTTCAAGCTAGCAGCTCGCGGCTGCATTGCTTCAATATCGTAACAGAGACAACTTCCATTCATTCACTGCGAGAACTGTCCATTTATTTATCTTCCATGCTTCCTGCACTTTAATCAGTTACCAACTCTTAAGATGATCCATCCACTGATAGCAGACATCTAAGTTTGCTCAGGAACCTTTGATGGGGATTTTGTCAGACTAATAATAATAATAATAATAATTTATTATTTGTACCCCACCCATCTGGCTGGGTTTTCCCAGCCACTCTGGGCAGCTTCCAACAAAAACCAAAAATACACTAAAATGTCATGCATTAAAAACTTCCCTGAACAGGGCTGCCTTCAGATGTCTTCTGAATGTCAGGTAGTTGTTTATCTCTTTGACATCTGATGGGAGGGTGTTCCACAGGGCGGGCGCCACTACCAAGAAGGCCCTCTGCCTGGTTCCCTGTAGCTTTGCTTCTCGCAGTGAGGGAACCACCAGAAGGCCCTCGGCGCTGGACCTCAGCATCCGGGCAGAACGATGGGGGTGGAGACGCTCCTTCAGGTATACTGGGCCGAGGCCGTTTAGGGCTTTAAAGGTCAGCCCCAACACTTTGAATTGTGCTCGGAAACGTACTGGGAGCCAATGTAGATCTTTCAAGACCGGTGTTATGTGGTCTCTTGGTTCATCTTGCTCAGTATTGTCCTTGTCTACGCTGGCTAACAGCAACTATCCAGTGTCTTTCCCAACACTGGCTAGAGATGCCAGGAACTGAATTTAGAACCTTCTGCAAGCAATGCAAATGCTGTATGGCTGAGTCTGCATACTCACCTACATTTAAAGCACATGATTCCCCCAAAATAATCCTCAGAACTTTGTTGAGGGTGCTGAGAATTTTAGCTTTGAGAGATAAAACGAATAGTTCCCAGGATTCTTTGGAGGAAGCCATGTGATTTAAATGTATGATATGTAAGTTGCTGACATTACAGCCCTTTCTCAAATAAGTTTAAGATACTTCTAAGGAGATCTTACTCATTTCCTTTAATGTGAAATAACATTGAACTGGTTTGCAGGCAGGCAAGTTGCACTTTTGAAAATATTGTTTCTCACGAAATAAAACTTAGCATGAAATTCCTGTCTGTTTCTACTTTGGGGGGCCTGGGGGCGGGAGGACGTGCTGGTGTCCAAACATAACTATGCTACTATCCTGATTTTTCCCATTTCTCTCTTTGGAGAGGAAAACAAGCTGTTAAATGCAGATGCCCTGTACACTCGAAGTCTACGAATTAGAGTGACACAAATGAGGACCAACTTAGACAGCAGTGCCAACCACGGGTGTAGCCAGGATTTATTGGGGGGGACGGGACCGACTTATCTGCGACCCAGTCGGTCAGTTGTTTTCATTTATTTTCTGGATTGGGGGCGGATGCCCCTCCGGCTCCGCCCATGGTGCCCACTGAAAAAGACGGAGCCGGCGAGGACTTGCCCCGTTTCCTGTCTCGGCGCGCGCGCCAACGAATCCGAGGCAGCGGCGGGCGGGTCCCTCGGGCTTCCTGGCGGGGGAGCCTCTGCTTCGCCGGTTGCCAAGTGACGCCGAGAAAGCGCGCGCCCGGCGGGGAAGAAGGGGTTGCCGCCGCCGCCGCCTTGCCTTTGCCTTCCTCCTCCTCCTCCTCCTCCTCCTCGAATGGTGAGCGCTGCGGGAGACATTTGCGCATTTCGGAGCACCCGAAACTCGCCGCCTTTGCTCTGCTCTTTTTTCCTCGCTTGTTATGTTTTGAGGGTCGGGCGGGGAGAGAAGCCCCCATCCAAGGACCTGCGAGGGCAAGAAGAGGCGGCGGGCCGGGGCTAGTCCCGAGTTCCTCCGTAGCCGGATTTTCCTTTCCTTAACAGGTCTTTGGGGTTACATGCATTTTTCTTGAAGGAATGAAGCAAAAGCAGCAAAAAGTCCTGCAGCACATTTGATCATGGCATAAGCTTTTACAGACTAGTGGCCACATTGTAAGATGCATTGGATGAAAGCTTAGGTCACGTTTTGGTGTTTAAACTGCTGCAGGACTTCAAACTAACACAGCTGCCTCTCTGGAAATTGGTATGAAGGTGACCAAGCTTAGCTTTGTAGTCTCAAAGGCAATAATAGTTTATGGTGATTCATATGATTTAATATAAATTATTATGTTTTGAAATCTTCACTAGAATTTACAGATGTGACAAAGTTTCAGTCTCCTTCTCACACCCAATCCTGTATTTCCCAACCTTTTCCCGACTGTGGCTCCATTCCAACCTTGTTTCCTTCCTGTGGACCCCACCCCCAGGCATAGACAATGGGGCGGGGGGCAATAAGTAAAAATAAAAATCAATACAAATCTGAGGTTCTGCCCCCCAACAAAAGCATGCCCCCTAACAAAAATCCTGGCTACGCCCATACTCCCCCATCCCACCAGTAAAAAAGTAGCTATTTAAATGTTTGTTTGTAAATGGAATATATTTTATTTATAATTTATACAAAATACAATTACATAAAATGGTAGGAACATAATGAAATATTGTTGAAGCAGGAAAATGTAGAATCACAGAGCTGGAAGGAGCCCCAAGGGGCGTCTTTCTAGTGCAGCCCCTGCAATGTAGGAAACTCAGCTGAAGCATCCATGACAGATGGCCATCCAAGCTCTGCTTAGAAGCTTTCAAGGAAGGAGAGTCCACAACCTCCTAAGGGGGATCCATCTTCCATGTATTATAAAAAGTAAACAACACTTATTTGCCCCAAGAGGGAGAAACCTACAGATACAGTCCAAAAGGCACACAGAAAGTTCTGTATATTTGGGAGAATTTTAAAAAGCAAATGGTCCTCACTGACTTGGTTCAAAAAGATCTTTTTCGGAGGAGCCCTGGCTGCCTAGATAAAACTCTATAGTCCACAGGTTTTCAACCTTTTTGAGTCTATAGCTCCCTTGGCCAACTGCATTCTTTTTGCAGCACCCCTGTGGGTGTCAGGAGCCCAGTTATGTCCCCCCTTGCCTGCAGAGCTGGAAGCTTCTCGCCCCTTTTTGAAGACCCTCCCTTGTGGAGTGTTCCCTCAGCCTCCTCTCTTTTCTTCCTCTCCTTGGGAGTCCTCCAGGCAGCAGCTGCCACTGCCCTTAGAATCATAGAATCATAGAGCTGGAAGAGACCACAAGGGCCATCGAGTCCAACCCCCTGCCAAGCAGGAAACACCATCAGAGCACTCCTGACATATGGCTGTCAAGCCTCTGCTTAAAGACCTCCAAAGAAGGAGACTCCACCACACTCCTTGGCAGCAAATTCCACTGTCGAACAGCTCTTACTGTCAGGAAGTTCTTCCTAATGTTTAGGTGGAATCTTCTTTCTTGTAGTTTGGATCCATTGCTCCGTGTCCGCTTCTCTGGAGCAGCAGAAAACAACCTTTCTCCCTCCTCTATGTGACATCCTTTTATATATTTGAACATGGCTATCATATCACCCCTTAACCTCCTCTTCTCCAGGCTAAACATGCCCAGCTCCCTTAGCCGTTCCTCATAAGGCATCGTTTCCAGGCCTTTGACCATTTTGGTTGCCCTCCTCTGGACACCTTCCAGTTTGTCAGTGTCCTTCTTGAACTGTGGTGGCCAGAACTGGACACAGTACTCCAGGTGAGGTCTGACCAGAGCAGAATACAGTGGCACTATTACTTCCCTTGATCTAGATGCTATACTCCTATTGATGCAGCCCAGAATTGCATTGGCTTTTTAGCTGCCGCGTCACACTGTTGGCTCATGTCAAGTTTGTGGTCAACCAAGACTCCTAGATCCTTTTCACATGTACTGCTCTCAAGCCAGGTGTCACCCATCTTGTATTTGTGCCTCTCATTTTTTTGCCCAAGTGCAGTACTTTACATTTCTCCCTGTTCAAATTCATCTTGTTTGTTTTGGCCCAGTTCTCTAATCTGTCAAGGTCGTTTTGAAGTGTGATCCTGTCCTCTGGGGTGTTAGCCACCCCTCCCAGTTTGGTGTCATCTGCAAATTTGATCAGGATGCCCTTGAGTCCATCATCCAAGTCGTTGATAAAGATGTTGAATAAGATCGGGCCCAAGACAGAACCCTGTGGCACCCACTAGTCACTCTTCTCCAGGATGAAGAGGAACCATTGATGAGCACCCTTTGGGTTCGGTCAGTCAGCCAGTTACAAATCCACTGAGTGGTAGCATAGTCAAGACCGCATTTTACCAGCTTCTTTACAAGAATATAATGGGGCACCTTGTCCAATGCCTTGCTGAAATCAAGGTAGGCTACATCCACTGCGTTCCCTTCATCTACCAGGCTTGTAATTCTGTCAAAAAACGAGATCAGGTTAGTTTGACATGACTTATTTTTCAGAAATCCATGCTGACTATTGGTGATCACAGCATTCCTTTCTAGGTGCTCACAGACTGTTTGCTTAATGATCTGCTCCAGAATCTTCCCTGGTATTGATGTCAGACTGACTGGGCGGTAATTATTTGGATCCTCTCTTTTCCCCTTTTTGAAAATAGGGACAACATTTGCCCTCCTCCAGTCTGCCGGGACTTCGCCTGTTCTCCAGGAATTCTCAAAGATGACTGCCAGTGGTTCTGAGATCACATCTGCCAGTTCTTTTAATACTCTTGGATGCAGTTCATCTGGCCCTGGAGACTTGAATACATCTAAACTAGCAAAGTATTCTTGTACTATCTCCTTAGTTATTCTGGGCTGTGTTTCCTCTGCTGAATCATTTGCTCCAAATTCTTCAGGTCGGGCATTGTTTTCTTTATCGGAGAAGACTGAGGCAAAGAAGGCATTGAGGAGTTCAGCCCTTTCTGTGTCCCCTGTTTGCATTTCACCATCTTCTCCTCTGAGTGACCCCACTGTTTCTTTGTTCTTCCTTTTGCTACGAACATACCCATAAAAGCCTTTTTGTTGCTTTTAACCTCTCTAGCAAGCCTGAGTTCATTCTGTGCTTTAGCTTTTCTGACTTTGTGTCTACACGTGCTGGCTATTTGTTTGAATTCCTCTTTGGTGCTTTCCCCCCTTTTCCATTTTTTGTACACATCCTTTTTTTAATCTTAACTCAGTTAAAAGTTCTTTAGATAGCCACCCTGGCTTCTTTAGGCACCTTCCATGTTTCCGTCTCATTGGTATTGCCTGACGTTGTGCTTTTAGTATCTCCCTCTTAACAAACTCCCAGCCATCATGAACTCCCTTTCCTTTTAGTATTACTGTCCATGGGATCTCACCCAGCACTTCCCTAAGTTTTATGAAGTCGGCTTTCTTAAAGTCAAGAAATTGAGTCCTAGTATGATTGGCTGCTCCTTTCTGCTGTATAGTAAACTTCAGAAGAGCATGATCACTCGCGCCTAATGATCCTTCCACGTCTACCCCACTAACCAGGTCATCAACATTGGTTAGGACCAGATCTAAAATGGCTGTTCCTCTTGTTGCTTCTCCCACTTTCTGGACAATGAAGTTGTCTGCAAGGCCAGTGAGGAATCTGTTTGACCTTATGCTCTTGGCTGAGTTTGACATCCAACAAATATCCGGGTAATTGAAGTCCCCCATTACTACTATCTCCTTCTTTTTGCATGCTTGGCCATCTGTTCCAGGAAGGCATCATCTATGTCCTCCGTTTGGCTTGGGGATCTATAGTAAACTCCCACAATGAGGTCACTGTTATTCTTCTCTCCCTTAATTTTGACCCAAATGCTCTCACTTTGGCTTTTAGGTTCTAAATCTTGGATCTCTTCACAGGTATACACATCCCTGACATATAACGCCACTCCTCCTCCTTTCTTGTCTGGTCTGTTTCTCTGAAATAGATTGTATCCCTCCATTATTACATTCCAATCGTGGGACTTATCCCACCAGGTTTCAGTGATGCCTATTATGTCATATTTAGTTTGCTGTACCAAGAGCTCAAGCTCATCTTGTTTATTTCCCATGCTTTGCGCATTAGTGTACAGACATTGAAGTCCATGAATCATTCCCCCGTGTCTCTTATTTAAGGATTTTTTCCTCCTACCACTAGGTCTGCGTGCTGTTTGCTCCATTTGGTCTATGACATTTGGATGATCATCTTCGTCAATTGATAGACTCCTACCTTCAGGAGCACTGTCCCCCTCCCCACATTAGTCAGTTTAAAGCCCTCCTGATGAGGTTTCTGAGATTTTTGGCAAAAACATTTCTCCCAACCGTTGTGAGGTGCAGCCCATCGCTTGCCAGAAGTCCATCTTCAAGAAACTGCAGTCCGTGATCTAAGAATCCAAACCGTTCCTGTTTACACCATTTGCGAAGCCAGCTGTTCACTTCCACTATTTTTCCCTCTCTCCCTGGGCCACGTCGTTCAACTGGGAGGACAGATGAGATGACAATTTGTGCATTTAATTGCTTCAATTTCCTGCCCAGAGCCTTGTAGTCTCTTTTGATCTTCTGGAGGCTATTGCTTGCAGTGTCATTGGTTCCCACATGAAC